TCTGTATAGGTTCGTTAAATATAGTTGCGAAATGTTTCCATTTCAATGGAATTATATGGTCCACCGGGCAGCCGTATCGTGCGTCGATGACAATATTGTACTTCGGCTATAACGATTGCAGCACCATACCGTTTTTTTTTTTTTGTAGGTACATTAGAACGCATATGCAAACTGTATGGGCGAAGCGGTTTTTCTACAGTTTTGATGTATTATATGTGTGATATACGATATAGAAATAACAGGAAACTGGATTTAAATATTATTTATAAAAACAGGTGTTTTAAAATATTAGGTTTGGCGCCTCCAACGTTTGTGGTTTTAACATAAAAACTAGAATAGGTAAGTATAAACATATAATATGCTTAAAGAATTTATCAACTTTCCTTTAACAAGACAACTGTTCTCGAAAGATGGGGTAGGCTTATACATAAATATATACGTATTTACTATTTTTGAAAGCCACTATACTCTTTCAAACATTTTTGGATCCCTTATATAGGTACCCCTAAATAAGCCTACACTCTAGAGACACATAACACTAATGAGTAATGTAATAAACGAATCAAATTTTGTTCTACAATTTCAGACAAAGATTTTATTGAAAATGCAGCTGCTTAATTCATACTATATGAAAGTGGTCATATAATAACGCGTGTATACACATATATGTGTTCGTAATGACTAATAAGATTATTATTCGATTTTCAAAACCATCACACAACACCAATAACGATAATAAAATCAAACGACCGTCGTGTCATCGTGCAGAATGAATGTAGAGAATATAAAATAATATTATTAAATTACGAATTAGGTGCCTGCGAACCGAGTCACGCGGAGGGACGATGACCATCGGATTTATGAGCAAACCTATATTATATATTATTATTATGATCGTTTGTGCGTTGTGCTGTGTATGCACTTCCGTAGCGCACTGGACTTATAGAATGTAACCTACCTATATATAATGCTTTGGTTTTGGTTTTTTTTTTACGCACAGACCAATATCGTTTAACTTTACTCGTTATCATTATTATATTATTATTGCGCTCAGTTCTTTTTGCACACACACAAAATTTAATCTCAATAAAACTTGTGTTCGAACTGCGGCCCAGCAATTCATTTCTGCATGTCGCATTCGGCTAATCGACCGTTAAGAACGGAGTAACGGACTGCACCGAACTTATATATATATAATTTACAGTATACACCGATCGTCTGTGTGTGTGTGAGCGCGCAACTGCCAGTGCCAGGGACCGCTGTCAAATGCCGGTTTTAAAGGCAGCCTTTGATACATTTTTATCGTAAAAACCTCTCATGCACCCTTCTTTCCCTTTTCCTCGCTCTCTCTTTCTCTCTAACCGCACACGTTCTGGTCCACCACCATCACTGTGCGTAATCCCATTGCAGCTACTTTTGGGCTGTTTTATTACGACACCCCTGCTGCCTTAGAAACTGCCTCCCCGTAATATCAAAATATATAAAGTATAGGTAGACTATAGATGTACGTATAAAAACCCAGTGAGCTTTTTACTGGTGAACACTTTTTAACGCAAAATTACTTGGTCCTCAGAAACATAGCAAAATGGTTGAATTTCCATAACACAGAACCATTGCAACTATATTTTTTTTCCAACGTTTACACTGTTTAGTGTATTATATACATTACTTCAAAGCCGGAGTTTTTCATTTTTTTTTTTTTATATATTCCTACACCGAATTGCGTTCACATATACATGTACCATATGATTCATGTATGTGTATTTTATTTATGTTTATAGATATACCTGTATATTGTATAATATGTGATGAGAAATAATATTAAATATATAGGTATAGTATACATTCAAAGAATCTTATGCATTTATCTACTTGTAAAATATTTATGTGAATTTTGCACAATACTGCTTCGTTTCGTTTTTATGCTCTTATTTAATAAATAAATATTTTAAGTAAATTACTACTAGATAATGAGATACTATATATGTCTATATATACTTACTTTAATAAGTTTTATTGATAATTTATTTAATTTATAAGGTTTTAACTTTGCAAACTTTCAAAATCATTTAATTGTATAGACTTTTAATTATGCACTTATATATCGATATTAAAATTTTTATCTTACTTGTATAAATTTAGATTAATAAATCATCTAAATGTCTACTATATTAGATACATTATAGATAATAATTGTTATTCCTAACGTTAAATTTCTTTGATGTACGTACCTGCCACCTACTGACTACAGCGTTATAAAAGCATCTTTGTATGTGGTCAGTATTTTAATCTTAATTACATGTATATTTTTTATCAATATGTATGACTTTAATGATCCGCTTTATATGTTTATTACAAATTACAATTTACCTATATTTAACGTTTAGGTATCTCTTAGTAATTTTCTTTAAGGCCATGAACAATGTACCGTCATATTGTTAATTATTAAATAACCATAGCTAGTACTGTAACTTATTGATTAATTAATACTAAAAACTATGAATATAAATAGTATAAAAATAGACGTACATGAAAAACACTTTTTTTTTTAAAGTTTAGGTACTTCGACTTTGATTTATTGACACTTCAAAAATGAAAAATTCAGGCTAAAATACGTAAAATGTTTAATTAAAATAATTTAAAAGTAAGAAAATAAAATATTAGCACCTCTAAATATATATAAAACGATTAAAAATGGTACTCATGTAAAAGTAATATATATATATATATATATTATAATTACAGAATATTATAATCAATAAATTGTTTATATAAAATAATAATAATAAAAATAATAAATGGGTATAATTAACAAAATAGCTATTCGTGTAAAATATAATAGTTAATTTATACATATTTAAATAACTATTTCTTTTCATTAGATTTTTTCTAAATTATTACCATTAACTTAAATTCTTTTATTGGTGGGTCAACAGGTCAACAATGATGATGTTACTATTTTTATGTATATTATCAGTAAAATTAATTTCACTCGTCATTCAAAAACTATTAAAAGTGCACTAGATGAATAGCTGACGCAGATAGGTCATATACTCATATATTTTGTGGAAGATTGAATTCCACTATTTTAACGTATATTAATAATTATACAATAATAATAAATTTGTATTAATAGTAAACAGTAAACCCTAAATTTTGATTTAACTTGCATTTTCTTAGTAATAGCATCATATGAAATCCAATTGATCTAATTTATAATAAAATAACATATAATAAATGTATTCATAATCTTATAGTATATGACTAATATATGATTAACCTAACCTAAGAATAGAGTAACCTAGTGAATTATTGACCGTAAGTGCCAATGACCAATATTGTCAGTTTAAACCGGTCACGGGTGTTTTTATCTTTTCAAAATTTCAAAATTCCAAAAAAAATTAATTTTATATGATTTGTATTAACACATGTACCCAGTGTTCTACCATAATGTAATTTCAGAATATGAAGTTTTATCAGTGATCCTAATTATTTTCAACCACGCGCTCAAAAAAAAATTGTTTCATACAAATTGTTATAAATTATAGTAATAAAGTACAATAAATTAACCGTAAAAATAAAACTGTGAAAATTCAACATGTTGGTATCATATATTCATATATATTACATATTTTTAGTTGTAATTACATTTTTACACTTTATAATGGTAATTTAGAAAATGTTTGTTCTGAAATAAATGTATATTGTGTAATGTGTATAGTTTGAATGATTTCAACATAACAACGATGAGGAACATGATTATAGAACACTTTTGCTTATAGCATATTAATTATTAATATAATAATACATGTATGTACGAAAGTGCCTCCGATAATTTTTTAACAGACCTATTATATTTTTCATTGAGGATTAAGGATTATTATAATAATTTTTAACATTAAACTAATTATTTTACATAATTGTTGGTTATTACCGTACCTATATATATGTATAATCATTATAATATAATAGCATTCTTTTTCCACCACTACATACAGTTTTGGTAAACACAGTATTATAGGTACATTACATAGATATTTTTATTGGTTAATAAAGAGCGGTTTGATAATTCAATAATTGAATAGTATTATTGTATTATAACTATATATAACATGGTTGATAGTTAACATAGGCGCGTATTTAAGTTCTTAGGATCTATTTTTTGTTTCTTATGTTTTATTTTAGAATCAACAAGTTCTGTTTGGAGAGCGTGAAAAAAACATTTATATAATTTCGGTAGATTCAAGAATCTTTTATAGTTCTCTGTATTTTTTTTCTTTATTTGATAACACATCGCCATTTTTTATAGTGGCTTACATAATATTTTAATTATAGATCGTAAAAAATAAAACTTGAATGTATAAAGTAGATTTTTTAAAAATCTACTGGCCGTATAAGTTTTGAGCCTGTTAGTCAATAAATTAGTCTAGATTATAATATATTGTATAGGTTGCAGAACTGCATATAAGTACAATAATAATAATAATAATGCCAGTAATTATTATTATCGTATGGATGATCTACCTATATATTTTTTATATTATTTATATTCCATAATATGAAAAATACATTATAGTCAGTATCACAATATAATATTGAGTTTAGTTTTTCTCGTCTGTCGAATAGATTATTGCACTGCATATTAAAATAATAATATAATATACATTTGATTATTTAACGCGATATTCGCCGCCGTAATCCACTGAGGCCGACCGGCAACGCCCCCAAGTGTCGGTCGTACAAGACCGCCGCGCCGTCGGAGCATATGGTACCGGTGTACGGTCGGGGCGCGCGCGTACACACCATTAGTCCGTGTTTGACGTCGCTGGTGTGTTCGTGTCCGATTGCGCGTTTTAGGTTTGGTTATTTATTATTATTTTCATTTTCGTTTCGCGTAAATAATCGTAATATAATATTTTAACCGACTCGTCGCGTAACTCGCATTTTTTTTTTTTTCATTATTATTTAATTGTTTTTGGTTTTTTAAACGATTGATCGGCATTTGTAATAATATACTTTTAGTTCTGTTTTTATTAATTTTCCGTCGTTTTTGTTTTTGAAAAATATTATTTTTCCGCGTTACGTGTGTTCGCTATTTTAACTGTTCGTATTCGTACATTAACACATTGCAAAACTATTTTACGGCTGTAACTGCGAGTATTATTAAAGGTCGTCGACAGTAGCAGTGGTCCTCGAAAAGACAACTGTTTTAGCCGAAAAAGTTGTTGTGGAACGTAGGTAAGTGAATAAAATCAAAATTAATACGCGCCACACGATACATCTTTATACATATAATAAATATATACCTATGATAGTACATCAGTGTGGCTATGGTTTTAAGTCTTCTGGCGATGCTGAGATGTCATTATTAACATTGTTATTAATATTATGACCGTTGTAATATCTCGTTAGAAACGTCTTTGGCAAAAAAAAATTGTTAACGATACCCACGTACTTACACAATAAGGATCATCGCAACTGGAAGTAATAAATTAATATTTAATGCCGCCGTCGGTGTTCCTATCCGCAAGCTTCATGAATTTTTATAGTTATCAAAAAGACGTTTCGTACAGTTTTAACGATTCTATTATTAATGTCCGGCCGCGTGCGTTTCAATCCATTATTTTTTTTTCGCTCCCCCGACCGTCCGTCATTACTTCATTCGGCAATCATTGCGTGCGCGCAATTCCAAATGAATTCGTCCAGTTCGGACGAGCGGCAGCGGAACACACATTAATATTATTACTATTAGTCGCCAGTATTACACGTACCTGTATACATGACTATCCAACTACCTGACTGCTTGTCGTGGCGCGTGTATGTAATGGCACAAGCACAACCATACAGTGGGTAGTAACTAGTTAATATACCTATCTGGTTCAATGAGAGAAAAAGAACCGTGTGTAAAAAAAAAAAAAAAAAATAAAAATTGATTAACCCGGTAATAGAATACCCGTCGAAGCCGTACAATTTTTTTATTATTTTACCGATATGTGCATCCTGTGTTGCAACTTTTTCCGATAATGGAAGACAGATAAAAAATCAATACCTATGCCTATCTTGAAGCACCTCAATTCTATGTTAACTGCGGTTTTTTTTTGTTTTTTTTTTTTTGAGTTTTACGTATCGACGAGTCATAAACGGCCGTGTAAACTTCTATTATTTTAATCCCCTCGCGTTGATTTCAGCTAGTAATCGATTTGAAAATATCCACGTGCAAGACCGCGACGACGTACATATGATAACCAATTTAATAATTATAATAATTATTACACAGTATTCCACATTTCCACGATTCACACGACATAATATTATTATTTTGGTTGATACGGAGTAAACAGTCTTCGTGTACCCGTTCCCGCGACTTGGGTATAATAAATAATATTATTCTGTTCTTCGAAAAATGCGATATCGCTCTTAATTTTATTATTCCTATTACTTAATACTGCTTATTTTACAAGAATTCATTTCTTGCATGGTTATTCATCACGAATGCTTCCAGTAAAAGCGATGATAAAAATGTAAACAAAAAATAACCCCTGATGGGCCTGATGTATAAAATTTTACATAGATAATTATTGTAAGTATTATACCTAGTTATATGTTTAGGTAATATTGTGGTATTTAAAAACGTGCGTAATGAAAGGGAGGTACCTATTTATAATATAATATTATAGTAATGTTTATATTCTAATATTTTTGTTGCTTATCGAATTTCAAATGTTCAATGAAATAACTTCGAAAACCCACCCAACGCGTCTGCCTCGGTGTATAGATGTTTATTTAAGAAACGAATTAGGTAGGTACTTATGTACAAATTATATAACGACGTTTGTATTTGAATCTCGTTAGTAATTTATTGGGTTTTCAATCATATGTTTCATCTTGGTTTTGTTCTTAACTCTTTAATTTACATATTTACATAGGTACAAATAATGCTATTATACTTATCTAAGTATATACTTTTGTTTATTGTTAATCATCGAGACACAAAACAGTATTATATTATTTATATTTTTTTTAATTTCATTTTTTATGAGTGCTATTATTTTTAGTGTAGTTTAAAAAGTATATTTTTGTATGCTTATTATAATATACAACCGAATATTTTGTAGCTTAACATTAATATTTCATATAGTTTCATCCTTGACATTTTAATTTATAATAATTATAATAGTTATCATATTATAATAGGTAGTTTATTATATTCTTACATTATTTACAATTAAATATTTATAGATAACTATAAATTGCTGGACAACAGTATTAAAATGTTTATCTGAGGTCAATTCAAATTATAAAGTAAAAATAAGAACAAAAAAAAAAAAAAACATTAAATATTATATAGACTAACTATGATACAAATTCGTTTTTTTCTTTTACAAAACATCGCTGTTAAATATTTTTAGATAATAATGGTTTAGATCCGTTTAGACCTAAAATAATAAATAGATAGTATTATTTAAAGTATAAATTCTAAATTATCTGTTTAATATTCTGATTATAAAAATAATATCACACATTAAATTAATTATTAATATATTTGCAACCAATAAAATCATTGTTTGCTTTTACGCATTATGTTGGTGATTGATTTGAAATTTACGTGATTGATTGCTTATAATATTTTCAAAAATTAATAGATAAAAAATAAACAGGCAATTTAAAAACTGACATTGGATTCAAATCTTGCGGATATGCGAATGAATGATAATGTCTGGACGTGACATATACCTAGTGTATATTATGTATAAATTATGATGCTATAAATTAAAGTAACTACTATAGATGGTATCTTATTTCTTGAAAAATTCAAATAATAATATTTGTTTTTCAACTGATTTGAATTTGTAATAATACAAACCGCTAGATACCCTTTCTTGTTCACAGCGAGTACATTATTACTCTATAGTCAAAGGATTTAACGTTTTTTTTTTTCAACTAAAGCATAAAAAAAACTCGCCAAAAGCTTTCGATATTGCAAAGCTTTCTTTCTGGATATTAAAATCTGGGTAGACGAAGCTTTGAATATGAATAAAGGTAGAAGAATTTTGTTAGGGAGGAAACGTAATCAAGAGATAGGTATATAATATTGTCATAATTAAAATGGCCGATAAAAAAAAAATCAAACTGAAAAATGTGTTTCTTTTGATGCATAAAAATTAATATGTTATGTTTATACAACGTATAACTATGCAAAAACCAAACAATAAAATGATAAAGAATACATTAATTTAATATTAAATTTATATATATCGTAGGTCTGGTTATAAATAATGTAATTTATAATATTATATTCAATAGCTGAAGTCTATTAGTTCATCGTTGTTCGAGAGAAGTATTTTTTGGTGATTAACGATTGTATATTATTATATTATCCATTAAAGGAAAACTCAAATTTATTTTTATTAACAATTTAAAATCTATTTTTATTAGTTAATAATTTCTTCATGATAAACATTTATTTATTAAAATCTATATATAAAAGCTTATTTATGTTTACAATATTTTGTACACATATAAATAGGTTTATTATGTATTATATGATAATATTATATTATATAGTATTTAAGTACTATTTACTATTTATTCAATAGCGTTTCACGCTAAATACAATTTTAATAAACATATTTCAAAGACAATAGTTGTTTTTTTTTTGACAGCAATCAATACATTTGGTATAGATTAGACTTGTTTATATTGTAACCCTAAGCAAATAATGTTTCGGTTGGCTAACGCTTGGGAATTCGAGATAAGTGACCGAAGTGTCAACGAGATGTTCGTTATCAAACTTCACACCCCACGTCAATTTATTATTGTTCTCATAGCTCAACAAAGACAAACAAAATTTTTGTATGTTGTTGACGACAGGTGTGGTCAGTTAAAATGTACAAAATAATATGCGTATAATACCTCCAAATTACAATACAGGGTAGGTAAAGAATTATTCTCATTTCTTCACTAAAAGTATTAATTTAATATCTCTAATAACTAAAGAACAATTAACGAAACATGTTGATCGAGGTTTGAACTGAATTCCAGTTCAAAATGTTTTTTAAATGTAAAGATTTATCATTGCAATAAGCATAGGTACTTAATTTTACATTACAATTAGTCAATACTACTATGTGAAAAGTTATTGTCATAAAACGAGTGGTTAACATCAAGGTTTCACTGTATCTTTTTAGCTTTTTTTTTTAGTAATTCTAGTTTTGACTAAACATTGATTTTGTATTTCTTTAAAAAAAAACCGTAAACGTACCATATTGATAATGGATAATATTATTACAAGTTAATCAGTATTTTATGTTTTAAATTAAAATGTTTTCTTCAACAATTTAGTATATTATTGTATATTTTATTTGTTATTTAATTTCACTTGAATAGCTCATTATTATTTATGAATGAAAGCTGTTCCAAATATATTTCTATTATTTTAAAATTAAACTTTGAATTTAATACTGGTAGTGTCCTGCTCTGCTAACTAATGTCAAATTAAGTATTATTAAAGTATTTGTTATACAGCAAACAAATAATAGCCATCGTTACTTCTAGGTATGTAGTTCGAGTTCAAAAAATATAATATGATGTTAAAACTCTATTTATTTTAATTAGGTGGTAATTTTTTGTTTGTTATTTTGAGTTAAAAAAAAACGATTGAAGTGCTTTTAATTTTACAAATATTTTAAAACTACGTCGAAAATGTGTATTGCGTTGTTTATTAGGAAACTAATATCTACAAATAAGCAGAATAAGCTTATAATTTATTATCGTGTGTATGATAATCGTTACGTATAGTTACTAAATAACACGAAACAAATGAAATTTGGAAACAGTTTTTTCAAAACTTTTATTTAAAATTTTAATTATTTATATAATACAAGGTTAATTTACATTTTTTTTTTTTGTTGTAAATCATTTTTATATTTTTATTAAATAACAATTTTGAAAATTATGAGTAATTTGTTTCGACAGAATAAAATTAAAAACTTGATTTTTTACTAGATGATATTCTCGGATGTCATAAATATTTTTTTAAAATTGTAATTTCGAATCATTTTATATAATAATAAACTCGTTCATATTTCCCTGTTGAGCAACTTAGTTTACTATAATCTATAAGCAATAATTTAAGTGATTAAAAACATTAAAAGTTTACTTGTAGATAAACCCGCGGCCACAATAAATCTACCTGTATACGGCTGTATACCAGTATTTATTTTGTAAAAAATTGTTTT